CTCCTTCGTGCGTCACGTGATCACCACTTGACCAATGATGTCTTAGTCGGGCGTGGACGAATCCGCGGCTTTGTTTCAGGAAAAAAAAAATATATCTTGCTGAACTAAAAAAAATTATCCCTTCTTTTCCTTTTCTTCCTCTTAATCGCCGTTATCATTTCTCTAGCCGCAAACGGGACAATATGAACAATGGCGGTCATAACTCTTGTTCTACACGTGGCCCCGAAAAGACATTTCTAAATTCCCATTCATTTCCCTTCGGTACATATTTCTGATAACATAATTTTATTATCTCAGGCCAAGGATGTTCCGTCGAAGCAAATCAGTCAGCGGACACTCATGGGTGGCTTTTAATTTTTTCATATCTGTCCAAAATCCTTTTAGTTGCCTGTTTTTCGTCACTTATCGAAATAACATTTTCATTTTTCTTTGGCCAGTCGGTCTGTAGTTGATAATAAGATGCCTTCCCGTACCAATAGTTTGTTTTCATATCCTTAGATAACACAGCCGTCGCCAAAACATATCTGATTCTTTCTTTCTTTCCCTTTCTTTTAACTCAGAATTTCCCTGTCATTGTAATGACACCCTTTCGCCATTTGTTACTTATCAAAATATCCCTTATCCATTGTCTCTTAGCCGTGTGTGTGTTCTGCTTATCATCCACGATTCGGTCCTTAGCCTCTCCTTTTCTTCTTTTCTTTCTTTTCTTTTTCTGCCTCGTTAAATGGTGCCACAATTGTTCTTCCGACCCTAAATCCACACCATAGATTGTATAAAAAAAGGACTAATTCCTTTTCATATTCGTCTTATACCATAGGAACTGAATTGGTAATATCGATTTTTTCCAGGTAGCGAATAGAAGATATTTTAGTGTTAGACACGCTGAAGAAATATGATTAGGAATGTGGTTAGAACACACGCCAACCCCATGCGGGCTAGCCTCTCTAAGGAATCTGGATGCGGGAGGTCTGTTGGATATTCAAAATAGATGCAGCCCTCTCCTCTCGTCACGCTATTTTGAACTTATATCCAAAATTTACAGTAAATCGATTAATCGATCACAAAGTTGTTCGCCGTATAAATATACATTTGTTGTCTGATTGCTTTTTGAAACTCTAAGCTAACACGCACAGCATCATCTTTTTCCTTGGAGCTGAGCTTTTGGGGGTCGATTGTAGAGACTTACTGTTGTCAATCTACGGCCTTTTATATTGCAACTACCACATAGGATCAGCATCTATGTTGATATATTCATCATTACAGAGGCACCTCGAGGCAGTATAATGGTTAGCAAGCCTGTCTCGCGAGAACAATTACGACTGAGTAGTGAGTTCGATACTCATTGAGAGCCCCCTACTTTTGGCCATGTGACACATGTAAGCTACGCTTGGAAAATCGCTATATCCATCATTAGATTCCGCAAACAAGTAATTGGAATAGCTCTTCCACCGACATAGCTAGCCGAGAAAATTCGTCAAAGTTATCCAAGAAATATTGAACGCATAATGATATCAGCGTTCTACAATGGTTAACTCAATGTCAAGATGGCAAGGGAAATTTAAAGATTAAGAACACAGTGAGCAGGAAACACGATGAGTTGGTCTAAATCTGATGATGAATCTAATACAGATCATTGTAGATGCTTATGTGTCGTCCCTACAGCCTTCGCTCGCTCCTCGCTGCTTCGTTCGGGTGTCGCCGCTCCAAACGTGACGTCTGCCTGTCTGCACCAGTCGTGATGTCCCGTCCTGTGACGACCAACTGGCTTGGTATCGGTCGCGCCACCCAAAGGTGACGTTCTAACCTTTTGGTGATTCGGATGGGAATCTGGTCAGATCCGATATCAGCCTCGTCGTTCCAAACTCGCTTCCAACGTCTGGTTACCAAAGTAACTGCGTTGATCTCCAGTCCGCCTACCCACGTTGTGAATTGGTCTTAGGCAGACGGAATCGATCAGTTGTTGGGGCCGTAATGCAAGTTGAGTTCAAATGATGGCGGTATCGCACAAATATGTGTAAAAGAAAATAAAATAATAACTCAAAAGTTCAAGGTATCAAAAAAAGGATAATAATACTTTATATCTGGTTGCTGGATACATAGAACTGCGTCTATCTCCCGACCCGCTATATGGATTGTGACACCTTGTTTTTGTTAGGTGAGTTTTAACATCTTAAGTTGTCTGTTCTTTAAGAAACTGGTTCTTGGTATGTCTTCAGGCGATAGTCGTAAACTTATTTTGGTGGTATGGATCTAAGGCGCTCTTCAAAAATAAATTGTTCTTGGATTGAAGGTGAGTTCGGAAGTTGCGCGAATCTTTCAAGTCAGCTAATGCGAGGCGGAACCCACTTCAACTGCGAACTGGAAGCTGATCCGAACTGGACTGAACTGGGGAACTCTCATTTTCGCTTGCTGCGACTTTGCTTATATGGACGCCAACCAAAACAGGGGTGGGCTTTGTTGGGGTTTGAGGTTCCCTGATAATTCCAAATCCACAACCCCCCACTTCCGCTTTCGGTCAGGAAAAATTCATTAATTCCATTTTTGGAAGTCTTCTCTTACCTCCACCTTCAGAGGGCGGCAACGATCCTCCCACTTCTTCGCAGTAACTCCGTATACCTATCCTCTTTAAGGAGTAGTGGCAGGCCACCTCCCCTGGATCACATGATCACCTCCGCCTGGCTCTCGTTAACATTCAGCCAATGGTCGATCAACAGTGTGGGCGTGACCAGACTAGCCTTGTTTCTTAAAAAAAAATATCTTGCTCAAAGAAAAAAAAGAATTATCTCCTATTTTTTCTTTTTTTTTCTATTTCCTTTCCTTCTTTTCTTTTCTATTCTCTCTTCTTCTCTGGCCGCCAACAGAACAATGCGACCAGTAGTGTGATAACCTCAATTCTCATCTGGACTTCGTCAGTCAGATTTTCGCCAATTATCAGAGTGGGTGGTCGTCCAGCAATTACGGCCAAATTTTCCGATAATATTGTTTCGCCATTATCGCCACATTCTAACAAAACCCAGACCTTGTCCAACGATATCTTTCCCTCGACAAATACTTAACCTATTTTCCTTTGTTTTCTTTAGCTCGTGGGTGGTCAGGCAGTCCCGTGACACAGTTAAATGTTTATCTATTCTGTCCCGTAGTTTAGCTAGCCGACCTGGAATTTGTCATTTAGATTTTCGCCAGCACCAAGTGGCTGTTATCTATTCCCGATAATATAAGTCCCCCACCACGACACAGTCAATTTTTATCTATTTAGAATTTTATGCAATGACAATGAAAATTTTCACCATTTGTCACTATCAAAATTTCATTTCTTTCCCTTCTTTTCTTCCTTTTCTTTGCTTCCCAAATGGTGTCACACTTATATCTGTATGGGTTTGAATAATTATGTGATAAAAAATACATGAATTAGTTTGCAATCATTTGCAAATAATATATCAAAAAATATTTTCACTATATTGTTAAATGAAAAAATTATATTCAAGGACTTAAGGCCGCATCAATTTCAAACGTCGATTTTGATTAGTACCTAGATGGGGAACTACTTGGGAATGCCAGGTGATGTATGCATGGATTTGCCGGTAGTTTAATAGATAATGGCTCGGAATTGTTAATCGGAGAATTGAGTTGCATTTCACGTTGGTTTTGCTATATTCAGTTACGCGCAAATACCCTTGGGAAAGATATGACTCCACCTCTTCTACACCTGACTATGGGTTAATTTGTAAGAAATGTATCAGTAAATCGTTATTATCTCCAAGAAAAAAAAGTCTTATAATCTAAAAATATATTCTGGTTTAAAGTAACCTGCAAAAGGTTTATAAGTTGTATAAAACGAATCAATCAGTTATATTCAATCAATTGCGAAGTCTTCTTCCAGGAAAGCTAGTTCACTGTTTCGTGCTTTGAATATTGCTTTCCTACCTTTTCTGGTGCCCCTGGTATAAACCTTGAGGTTTTTCTTGGCAAAATCCAAAATAAAATCAGCAATGTTATCGATTTTTTTTTTTTCTGGCAGGTTGACTTAAGTCACTTTCTTGCCGCCGTGACGTGGCTTCCCTGGGTCTTTTTTTTTTTTTTTTGTAAATATTTTCATGGCAATTGTTCTTTTCCTCATTGGTAACGCGACCACATTAATTTAGGCGTGCTACTAGACTGGCAACAAGTTCTCATCGTTTTACTTTTGAAACAGATAATTTTTTAAACGTAATATCTAGTTTCATATATTGATCTTCTCTCTTCTGGAACTCTCTTCTGGTTTCTTCCTTCCCTACACCTACGATCTTAAACACATGATCCAGTGGGAAAAAAGAGTAGTTTGGTTGGATCCATTGACTTGATCCAAAAAGTTGTGAGTTCAATACCTGGCTACTGCGGTGGTGAACAAAAAAAAACTGGAGACTTGAGATAAAGGGAGATAACTGAGATATCTCGAAAATCATGGCACGTGGAACTAGAATAATCTACCGCTTTAGACGAAACAAAGGGTTCAGTTCGAAATTCCAATCACCTGAAGAAGGCCGTAGCGTACAACTGTTTAAATGACAATATGTCAATAAAGATGAGGACACCATTCCGAATAATGTAAATAATGTAGGTATTTACAATACCTCATCTCAGAAATATATACATATCTCGGTCAACACTTGCGATTTGTGGTATTATCAATTGGCGTCTTATGAAATTATTAAAAAAATACCCCACGTAGTTTTGGTTCTTTTCTTCTGTTCTTCCTATTTCAATTTTAGCCAGAAAAAAAAAATTGTGTTTATTGAAAATATTTTGAAAATACAAATCATGCATGTGTGTGAGCAATTTCGCGCTAAATTTCATATATAAAAATTCAGCACACAAGCATTTCTGCACGGGATTGCTATTATTTATGTGAAAACATGATTTCAAGAAATATTGAATTAATTGTATGAAACGTGGAAGGAGCATGTCACAAACTAGAACGAATAAGCTTAGAAATACAAAGAAAACATTGGTAGACAGATAGATCATGAATAGACAGATATATATGTAATGAATAGACTGAGATAGATAGATAATGAATAGACAGATATATATGTAATGAATAGACTGAGATAGATAGATAGATAGATAGATAGATAGATAGATAGATAGATAGATAGATGCATAGATACATATATAGATAGATCATGAATAGAGAGACATATATGTAATGAATAGACTGAGATAGATAGATAGATAGATAATGAATAGACAGATATATATGTAATGAATAGACTGAGATAGATAGATAGATAATGAATAGACAGATATATATGTAATGAATAGACTGAGATAGATAGATAATGAATAGACAGATATATATGTAATGAATAGACTGAGATAGATAGATAGATAGATAGATAGATAGATAGATAGATAGATGCATAGATACATATATAGATAGATAATGAATAGAGGGACATATATGTAATGAATAGACAGATAGATAGATAGATAGATAATGAATAGACAGATATATATGTAATGAATAGACAGATAGATAGATAATGAATAGACAGATATATATGTAATGAATAGACTGAGATAGATAGATAATGAATAGACAGATATATATGTAATGAATAGACTGAGATAGATAGATAGATAGATAGATAGATAGATGCATAGATACATATATAGATAGATAATGAATAGAGAGACATATATGTAATGAATAGACTGAGATAGATAGATAGATAATGAATAGACAGATATATATGTAATGAATAGACTGAGATAGATAGATAGATAGATAGATAGATGCATAGATACATATATAGATAGATCATGAATAGAGAGACATATATGTAATGAATAGACTGAGATAGATAGATAGATAATGAATAGACAGATATATATGTAATGAATAGACTGATATATATGTAATGAATAGACTGAGATAGATAGATAGATAGATAATGAATAGACAGATATATATGTAATGAATAGACTGAGATAGATAGATAGATAATGAATAGACAGATATATATGTAATGAATAGACTGAGATAGATAGATAGATAATGAATAGACAGATATATATGTAATGAATAGACTGAGATAGATAGATAGATAGATAGATAGATAGATAGATAGATAGATAGATAGATAGATGCGTAATTCGTATTGTATGTGTATGTGTTTGACTGCAGGAGAAAAATCGGTGAATTTAAATTGACTCGGCTAAAACTAAAATTGCTCCTAATCAGCATGAAATTAACTTTTCCCGTGACCTCCCCTTGTGACAGAATGTTAGACAAATTACTAACTCAAACTTATGCCGCCATTACTGATAGAATACTTTAGTATATACAGGTTGCAATGGATGAATTGTCGCCCACATGAAGATAAAAATGAAAATAAAACTGATATTTCATTTCATCAGATGCGTTTAACAAAATTACACAAAAATATCTTGAAGTAGTAAAGATTAGATTTCTTCAATAAAATTTCCATTGGCTTCAACCAAGGGCTCCAGACGACTTCGGAATCTCCTGCACTTCTTCCGGTTGTTTAAGTTGGCGAATACTGACATAATCCTTGCTTTCCGTTCATCTTATGTATCATAAGATGTTTTGTTGGTATTTCGCTCAAATAAACACACCTAAAATTATTGCTGATGAAAAGAGAAAGCAAAATAATAGAAAAAATATTGTGTTGACATTTTCTTTTATTTTTTTGTTATTTCCTGTGAAAATATTATGTAAAAAGCCATTCGGTATGGAAGACCCGATTCATTCTCATAGTCGCTATAGGTCTCATTCGCTTGATATATATAGAGATATTATTATCGGGTTGTGTAATTAACATTTTTAAGTAAGAACCAACGAACTGACAAGTTATTGTGTTTGATGTAATGTTTCTGTAGACATTTTCGTCGACCATGTATTCAGAAAAAATGATTTCTACATTATTTGGTAATTTCATTTACATTATTTACATTATTCAGAATGTTATCCTCATCTTCATGGTCATATTCATATATCTGTTAATATGACCATGAAGATGATGACAACAGTTCGAATAATGTAAATAATCACAGTACCTCATCTCAGAGATATAGAGAGATGTTGTTACTTTCAATTTCTTCGCAAATCTTATGCACAATCCTACCAAATGGTGAAGTAATTTTCTCTGCTACCCTGTGGCACTTCCGAAATTACTTGACCCCTCTTGCCATGCTCTATTTGAACAAGAACCAGAGCTTCCTAAAATAGGTGTCAGGTAGCCCTAGTCCTGGAGGAGGCGATCCCAGCGTGTGGCATTTTTGGAAAATCATGAAAAAAACAACAAAAACAAAACACCACATGTTGACCCAAGCCTCGTGAATGAAATTGTTTATCCGAAAATCTTGATACCACGTGACTGAGGGTCGGATTTTGTATTCCTTGTTCAGATCGTTGAATGCAATGCTCCAATTTATTTTCCAATATTTCACTCTTCTAGTTATCAACAAAAAAGTATTGGTGGCATATCTGGACGGGAACTACCCAATACTAACTTACTCGGCTCGACAGGGTTCTAAAGAGTTTGCACCGGCTTCCGGAAGTAGTGTTGTCTCCCACTCTTCATACCCTTTGCAACTGATAAAATGTGGCTCTCTTGTCGGTATCTACCGCTATTTTCCCGACTGATGTTCGAGCGCACTACATCCATTGCTTAGACCAGCTTTGACCTAATATGCAACGTAAATTCTGTCGAATCTTCCTTCATATTCCATTTATATGGACCAAGTTCCATTTAGACAGCCTCTCCCAAAGAATTTAGTTCACACATCTTTCTTTTTATGTGCGATGTCCTCTCAGAACGTAGGCGATCATGGCTCTCCACCTCTTCTATCCCTTTTAGCTCTCAACAAGTTCCTTTCCTCTGTCACTTCCCCTAGACTACGTTCTGCTATCCAATTGCTTAAACCCGCTGGACATATCATGTGTTGTTTTCGCTTGTCTCTCTTTCCCTCTTATTTGACCTGTGAGTACCAGATTCTCCAGGCCCTCCTTCCTCATTATGTGTTCCAGAAACTTCACCCGCTTCTTCCTTAAGTATAAGCCCCCTCTTTGTTTTCATCCTCTTTAAGACCTCGTTGTTGCTCATATGATCGGTCAATTATATCGTTAGCATCCTTCAGTAGAACCACATCTCCGTCGCTTCGAGTTTCTTCTTCTTTGAGGAAATCGCCCAACATTCACTCCCGTAAAGAGGGCAGACGTCCCCTAACAGCTCAGTATTATTTCCTTTGTTACCAAAGAAATCTTCCTTCTCGCAGTAATCTGCGCAGCTATTGGATCAACCAACATGTACAACATACCAAACTGGCCTCATTTTTAAGGAATATACTCACTTAGCCCCTTTAAATCATAAATAAAGTAAATGGAGCAGCTATTTGAATCCGAGAATGCCAGTCTAATAGGGCGGTTAACTTATCTCCATTGAAGACGGCTGCTTAGACACATTTGTGTTTGACCAACACTCACAGAGCCCACTTGTGTTTTATACTGCAACTATACTGAGCTGAACTTAGCTGTAGTTTCTGGGAGAGAGCGTGTTATCCAGCGTGATCAACGATCTGAACAAGGAATACAAAATCTGAACATCGGTCACGTGGCATCAAAATTTCCGGATACCCAATTTCACTCACAAGACTTGGGTCAACATGTGGTGTTTTTTTTTTTCAGCAATTTCCAAATATTCCGCACGCTGAGATCGCCTTCTCCAGACCGATAACATCAAAGAAGTCAACTTCCTGACAAATCGACCATGGTGAGATTCGAACGCGGGTCTCATTGTCAGAAAGCGAACGTTCTAAACATATTACATACTACTAGGAAAATAACATGCGAAAACTACTTGAAATACACAAAACGATAACTAATGTCCTCCCGTAAAAAAATAAGCCTATGCCAAAACATATAACACTTAAAATAGACAAACGATATGTACAAAAAGACATACGTTTGACGTGAGGCAAAAAATATCAGTAGTTGAAGTTATAAAACTGTGTATAAAATATTTATACCTCGGTATTAAATAACCAAAAGGGGATAATATGCCACTGAGCAAAATTATCTATCTGTAAGAATGTTAACGTTTTGATCACCAGAACCTTGCCCTCTTCAAGTAGAAGGTCAGCTGTTTTCTATCATACATATCCTCATAATAGACAACCCCTTTTATCTATGTATAGGCCCTTACAATTCCAAATTAAGTTTCCCTCAAAACTTGTGTAGTACGTAGGCCTTGTATCAAGAATAGTAATTTAGCAACAACAACATCATGTTGACCCTCACTATCGTGCCATCAATTAATAAGGGCATTGTGCAGACCATTACTAATGCAATGAGAATGTAACCCCAATATGTTTAAGAGTTTAAGGTAGGCTTATAAATTCTTTATAATCTCCTCATGGGGAATTAACTGAATGCAATTTACTGACCGTAAGATGAAATCTAGGTGAAAATATTAATATTCAATAACTTCGAAATATTCTATTGTCTTATTTAATAAAACAACTGCAACTCAGTCCGTTAGGGTTGAGACGTTTACGTTGTTCAGGGAGGGTTATACGGAAAGACGACCGATGTTCTCCACAGTAAATTGTTGAACATAGACTCTTCCATTCCAAATAAGAGGAATGTAAACTCGGAGATAGGAAACGAGACGCGAAGTGTGTCACAAAATCTGTCGCCCGCATTGCCGCACTAAATACAGTCCTCGCGATTACTGTGTTATTAATTTATGTGATCAAACAGTTTTTTTGTTCACTAATCTTTTGTTCTGAATATTGAAAATAGTGATATGGAGAAAGAAATATATATATATATATATATATATATATATATATATATACACACACTGGCAAAAACATACACCCACAATACACCAGAATAGAGGAAGGAAGACACTCAGGGCCATAAAAAGATAAGAAAAAAAGACATCCTCCTTTCTCTCCATTTCTCTGCTCAAATTAAATTGTTATATTTGCCCTCACGTAAAGGAACACCCCCAAAAGACAATGGTAAATAGATTTAATATAGGAAGAAAAAATCTATTCCTTTAAATAAAATGTGAAAATAACCATTCTTCCAAAAAACACCGGTAGCAAAAAAAAATAGAATAAAGTATATAAAAAACAAACATTATAATCGAAAACGTTTCCGGCTTTTCCTCTCTTTAATATATATATATATATATATATATATATATATATATATATATATATATATATATATATATATATATATATATAGTGGGTAGTGGCTCGGATTGAAGAATAAGTGAGCCGAGTTTGAATTCCAGTGGAATCCATTACACTTACGTATCTAGGGAATATTACCAGCCCTTACCTTGGGAGTATTAATTTTCTTTTTCTGCCTCCACGTAAATAGCAGGACAGACAGACTGGGTTCTATAGCTTTTGATGGAAACTGGTTTAGGAGAAGGACAAATCTGAATTCAAAATCCGGGAGGGTCGTTTGGTAACCTTTTGGAACGTCAGTATTCGGCCCTTCAAAAAGTGTCAGTGTTGACTTCAATGCTCACTTTTATATTTATATTTACATAGGTTCTATCTCAGATACTGAGCACTTTACAACCATAAATATGGCACAACTTAAATCTCTCTCTCTCTTCATATATATATATATATATATATATATATATATATATATATATATATATATATATATAATATTTTGAATTAAATTTTACATTAAATTTTCCCATTTTCATTTGGTTTGAAGCCTTGTTTTATCAAATTCAATGAAAGAAAAATATCATCTATCGTTTTATAAGTGTTTGCTTTAATTATCTATCTATGTCTATCTATCTATATATGTGTATATATATATATATATATATATATATATATATATATATATATATATATATATATATATGTGTGTGTGTGTGTGTGTGTGTGTGTGTGTAAGATTTGTTGAATTTAACAGGCAATGTCTGTTTAATATTTTATTGTATATATTTTTTTGAAAAAATGAGATGAAAACCCAATTCAAAACACTTTCAATTACCTGCTCAAATTTCTTGTTTTTCAGGCATCGTCGAAAGTTTTTTTGTTCAATTTTAATATATATGTCTGGCATTTACATTCATCCATAATATTTCCGCAAAATGTAAGGCAGTCTATGCTCAGATATTTATAAGTAAAAATTGGCATTTATTGTAGAAGCCGTATTCAAGGTTGTCTTTGTTGCAT